TCTTCCTGATAGATCTTGCCCTTCAACAATATATATCACACTTACCTGTGCTTTTTGATGCTTGTCACGTTGAAGTCTATATCATCTGAAATTAGAACCACTACATCAGCCTTTTTTTCTCGTCAGTTGGCTTGAAATATCTTTTTCCATCCCTTCACTTGCAGTTTCTTAGCGCCTTTTCTGGTTAGATGCATCTCTTGTAGGCAGCAGATAGTTTGGTCCTGTTTGTTAATCCAGTCTGTTAATCTGTGTTTTTTGACTGATGAATTAAGGCCATTCATGTTAAGGGTTAATATTGAGAGATTGTGATTTTGTCCTGCCATGTGCATGTGTCTTTGAGGTTGTTGGTATCTGAATGTCTTTTCTTGCATGGACTTTAATGTGGTGGTCTTCCCACTTGCCATCCTTGCTTATGGTTTTGTTCCTTTTTCTCTGGGAGTAGCACATTTCTGAGGAGTTTCTGTAAAGCTGGTTTTGGGCTGGTATATTCTTCTAATTTCTCTTTGCTATGGAAGTATCTAATTTCATTCTCAAATACAAATGAGACCTTTGCTGGGAACAATATTCTTGGTTGACAGTTGTTCTGTTTCAGTATTTGAAAGATTTTATTCCATTCCCTTCTTGCCTGGAGTGTGCGTTCTGAGAAGTCAGCGGTGATTCTGATGGACCTGCCTCTAAATGTAAGCTTGTGTTTGCTTCATGCTAGCCTCAGGATTCTTTCTTTGTGTTCGTTGGAAGGGAGCTTGATTACCATGTGTCTGGGAGAAGATCTTTTTGGGTCAAACTTGTGTGGCCTTCTCTGGCCTTCCTGGATTTGGACTGGGCTCATGTTCCAAGCGTTTTGGAAGTTCTCCTGTATAATTTCATCAAACACTGGTTGTATGACAATCTTTCTTTCCACTCCTTCTGGGAGCCCCATAATTCTGATATTTGACTTCTTGATGTTGTTGTTCATCTCCTGGATCACCTTGGACACCCTGTGTAATTTTGTTTCTGGTTGGTTAATGATCTGCCTGCTTTCATTCTGGGAATCTTCTAATTCAGATATCCTATCTTCTGCTGCAATAATTCAGTTGGTTAAGCTTTCAACTCTGTGTTTGAGGTCGAGAATTTCGTTTTTGAGTAATTTTGTTTCTGTGATTATGTGGTTTTTGAATTCCTTAAGTTTCTCCCAACGTTTTTCATTGTCTTTGAACAGTATCATAATTATTTTTCTGAACTCCTTATCTGATATGTCTTCAATTTCTTCATCTGTAATCTCTGTGATTGATCAGGCCTTTTGGTGAGTTTTTGGGGGTGGTATTGGCTTCTTCCTCTGGCTCATTTATTTTCCTGTGACTTCACCCCATGTCTATGAGGTATTGCTGGCTTCGCACCCTTGACCTCTGCTGCCACCTAGTGGGTGACCTGATGTCATGCTGGTCTAGTTTTTTGTTGTTTTTGTGTTCTTTTTTTTTTTTTTTTTTTTTTTTTTGGCTTAAGTTCTTCCTGCTAAGGATGTGTTTTTCTCTGTGCTAGCGACTCACTGAATTGTGCTAGTCCAATTTCGTTGGCCCAGTTTTGCCTTCTGCTGGGGTGGGGGGAAGGTTCTCTTTGTTTGCCTTTCACCAAGGTCTGCTTCCCCACCACTTGCCCGGTTTAGGAATTCACCAATTCACTGTGTCTCTTTCCCAATTTCTCCCCTATGTTAACGACTCATCAAAGTCTCAAGTCTCTGCAGTCTAGGGTTTCCTCCTTGTCCCTCTCTGGTTGTCGATCCCAGTATTTCGTGATTGTTCCACTGCCGTGTACTGTTTCCCTCAGTCCTGGCGAACTGGGGAATTTCCCACAGTGTTCCCCACGATTCCTTTCCTCTTGGGCTCACTTCAGACTGCTCTTGTCCCTATTTTCCAGGACCCTTGGCTACATCAGTTCAACTCCGTGGGTCATCTTGACCAATAATTCCTGTCATATGCTTTCTGTTTTGTGTCACTGGTAGCCTCTAATCATGTACTTGCTCACTGATTGCTTTCAATTCTTTTACTATTAAAAAACCCACAATTATTTAGTTTGGGGTGCTTCTTGCTTATAGCAAGAGGCTGTAACATGGACTAGATATTAAAATCATCTCATTCGCCTTGGTGTCTTGCTCAGATTTGTTTAACCATAACAGTGACCCACTAGGGGAGTTTCCCAAGTTCCCCTACTTGACCCACTCCCAGACCCAGATTTCATACATGCCAGTGGGTGTTAGACCATTGCCTGGCACAGTCTACTCTTCCATCTTCGGCTTGTATGATCTGGTGAACATTACAGCTTGGCCCACCCTACACCTTGTTTTAGGTTGCACTTTCGGGTGCTGCTGCCTTGACCTGCCCAGACTGTTGTTAGTTCCTTTACCCATGAGTGATGGCAAGTTTCATGAATCACCACCCCATCTCTTAAGCTAACCAGCGGGACTTGTATTTCCATAGGTTGGGCTCATTTATTCCCTGCAGAATGTACCCTGGACCTGGTTATCTCATGTGCTGGTTAATTTCATGTCCCTGCCTAATGTGACCCATCTCCTGTTCTGACACTCAGTTAGATACTGGGATATAACCCTACCAGATTTGCCCTCAGCCATAGCTTTAGCTGTCAGTGATGTTGTGTGCTAACAGCTCATCTCAGGACTCCCATGTGGGCTGGTGAATCAGTCTGACCGAAATAGTTCTTACAGACTCTCCCCATCCAAACCACCAGGTCACAGTCCCCACGTCTGCCAGCAAGTTCAGTGACCCCATCCCTCACCTACACTCACATTGGCCTTATCCATGGATGTCTCTAGGCAGCAATTACATACCCCATAAACCTTAGAGCTCACCGCTGGGTGGCCAGCACGTGGGGCAAGTGAGCCAAGGGGTGTGCTAGCTGCCCAAAAGTTCAGGACTGCTCATTGCATGGCGAGGCCATTCATGTCCAGAGTCCCAAGCTTTGTGTCTGACCCAGTATGGGTACCCTCCTCAGCTGCAGTGCTTTTGAGGACTTCTTTTATCCGAGTCCTGAGGTCAAACTCTCACCCCCTAGTTTCCTGCTGCCATAATTTGGTGGTGGCAGGGCGAGGCCTGAAACATAATCCCATTCCCGAGATTCCCTCATGGTGTAATCACCACGGGGGAAGAAATCTCTCAGGTCTGCCTCCCAAAGGATCAGGACTGCTCACTGCAAGGCAACAGTATCCATGGGCAGAATCCCAAGCATTGGGTCCAACTTGGCTTGGTTACCCTCAACAGCCACCAAGCTGCTGAAGGTTTCTTTTACTGGAGCCCCATGAACACCCACCGCCTGGGTTCCTCCTTCCATTTCCCACATATCTTAAAAAAAATAAAAAACTATGCTGACACAAATGTATACTAATTTAGTATTAACCAGGCTTAGAGTGTCTGCCAGTTGTTGGCTGCCTTTCTCCCAACAATGTAACACTTTGCTGGGTACAAGGAAAATTGGGCAGTTGCCTATTCTTTGGAAAAGTATAACTTTCAAAATTATTTACTTAATTAATTTATTTGAAAGGCAGAGCTACAGAGAGAGTGCGGAGGAAACAGAGAGCTTCCCCATGCCTCTTCACTCCCCAATTGCCAAAGCAGGTAGGACTGGATCAGGGAGAGCAAATACAGGAGCTGGGAGCCACAAACTCCTTTCAGGTTTCCATGTGAGTGGCAGAATCATGACATTTGAGCTATCTTGTTTTCCCAGGCATATTAACATGTGACTCACAAGTACAGCATCTGGAACTCAAATCACTGCTCATATGGGATTCTAGCACCAAAGGCTATGGCTATTGTGACAATGAGTAACTTCAAGGAAAACCATTCATGGGCTAAGCGAAATTTCCCTTGTCTATGGAATGTACTGAAATGGCTGTTTTTGCCTGATTATGATAAATATTTTTTTCAGGGGTAATATTTTCTCAGACATGTACATAATACCAAGCCTTGAATACTTCAGCTGTGGGATAGCTCTCTCTCTCTTTTTTTTTTCTCTCTCTCTCTCTCACACACACATACACACACACAAACACACAGATACACAGAAACTTAGACACATAAAAATATAATGTACGTATTAGCAGGGAACTGTCAAGACACCAGGGAAGAAAATACGATAATTAAATGAAATAAACCATTTGTTTTATTTTCCATATTGGTTTAAATATATTTAATAAAATGATGAAACAAATCCATACTGAATGAACTTTTGGTTTATTCTTCCTGGCATCCAAATGTTCCTGAGTATGGCTGTGATTGAGAAAAAAATTTCCCATGAATGATTTTCCATTTGGGGGGTTAATGACATTTTTGTATGATTGCAGGAGATGAAAAAAAATGCATTTGAGAAAAAAGTAGGAATCAATTCATGGCTTTGGCTAAGACCTGTGTATGTTTCTGAAATGTCTATGGAAATCAAAATCAATTTCTTATCCAATAGAAATGTGTAATAGCCTCCAATGAATTTTATTTTACTCTGATAAAATGATGTTCACTCAGAATTATATATTTTGACATAAAATTATTGAGTAATGGCTATAGCTGAGCCAGTCTGAAGCAGGAATCATCAGCTTCTTCCGGGTCTACCACATGGCTGTATGGGCCCAAAGACTTGAGCCATTCTATGCTGCTTTCCCAGGTCATGAATAGGCAACTGGATTGGAAGTGGAGCAACCAGTGCATGAACTGGCATCTATATAGGATGCAGATATTGCAAGATTAGCTTGCTGCACCACCACTTCAGTCCCATGAAGTAGGTGTTTGAAATGGATGCTATTTGATATTATCATATGTATTTTACAAGTTGGTTTTAAATCAGGAGGAGTTGAGGAACAGAGAAATAAAATCCTCTCAAAGAAAATTTGTAATTCTTGTACAGATGAATTGATTTTTATTTGCAGCTTTCATTTTGAAAATAGCAGGATTGTGTTTCTTGATGCAAAGAGTTTAAAGTTTGTTCAGCTAGATCCTGAGGCTCTTGTGACCACAAGTTTACTACTGTGTTTTCAAGTCATCAAGCACTTCCTGCTTTGTGATTCTGGCCCATTCATCAGGAATTTGACCTTTACCTGCAAATCTTTTCTGATGTTTTTCTTCTAGATTTGATCTGAAGTGAGAGACAAACCACTTCCAATAGGGCTGGCTGGATGAGTCTGGAGTGATGCTCCATGTGGCATAATCCCCTCCTGCCTGTCGATAGTTCTTATATGGGAATTTTTCATCCTCACTTAACAAAAATGAGTAATCACTTGCCACCAAACTCGTACAGCAATCAATGGTCAAGTTGTCTGTGGTTATCCAATGCCATCCACTGACTGCCTGAGGACGGTGGAAGGGAACACTGTGGTCTCCATCATGTGCAGAAATTGTGTTTGTGCAGATGGCTTTGCAGAACGGACACTGTTTCCAGCAGCCACACAGGTGTTCATAGAGTATTTTCTCAATTGCAGGAATGAATTCTTCTACAGGTATACTTAAGCAATTCTGTTCAACTGTCTCCATTGCAGGATCCAAATCTGCACTCATGGCTTCCTTGAGAAATTCCATGTCTTTAATCTCCTGGTGTTCAATGCTTATCAAGTCACTCCTTGGGAAGATGAGGTTGCTCCCAAGGTGATCACAGAACAAATCTAACCACTCAGATGCAGTGCTGCTTTTGTCTTTAGCTTGTGCTGTGGATTTATGAATAGCAGAGAGTAGGACATTCTTGATGTCATCTAAACTTAGTTTTAAAAAAGCCTGTATTGCTTCAGCTCCTGATCCTGAACAGTATTTTCTAATTTGGGTTTCAATGTAACTCCTGAAAAATGATTTTGGATAATGAATATATTGCCAATACTTTTCAAAGTTCTCTTCCTCTGCCAGAGAGATGAGAATGTGTTTCTCCAAGTTAGCTCGGTTTCCATTGAATTCAGGGCAAGTATTTCTCATGTCCCCAGCAATTTTAGGGACTGCCTTTTCCCTTATGGTTTTGGACACAGCTGGGGAGAGCTTGTTCCACAGAAAATCAACAAATGTTTTAATAGAAGTTGCTCCTTGGATGGAGATTTCAAAACTCATGAAGAAATCACCTTTCTTAGACTCCAAATAATAAACAGGGTCATTTGCTCTCTTGAATGCCTCATGCATTTCCTTAAAATACTGTGAGGCTATTTGAAATAAATGCAAAGACATGTCAATCTTATATTTGTTTGTAAAGGAATATTTTTTTGCTGTGGTTTCAGATTCCACTTCCTCTTCTATTATTCTCAGGATTTTATGGAAATCACTGGAACTGTAATCACGCTGTTGCAAACGAATGTCCTTAATAGTTTCCTCAAATCTTGTAAAGATGTGGTTACTAGTCCTATTAATAGCTTCTTTATCATGTGCTTCTAAATGATCTCTGGAAATGGAATAGTTCCTACTCATTTTAACATATTCAGTGTAATCCATTTGAAATACCTTTCCAGATTTTTTACCTAGTGTTTCCACTATATTTGTCTCACTTTTGAAATAATTCAAAAGAATGTTTTCAGCATCTAGTTCAATGTCAGGCTCTTCAACTTGAGGGAAAGTTGAGGACACATCATGGACCCATTTTGTCCAAAGTTGATGAAATATCTTCTGTACCTCTTCCTTGCTTAGCTCTTTATCCTTTATAGATAAAGCCAACTTCCTGCTCTTTTCCAATAATTCTCTTTCATATTCTGCTTTTTTCTTATCCAGCTTTTCTTGACTTTTTTTAAAATGAATAAGTTCATCAGCTTTTTGAAAGCTCTCTGAAACAAGTGTGTCCTTAAGCATGGAGAGTTTATGCTCAAAATTTGCTTTCCATTGAATTAGTATTTCATTATCTGGATCTTCAGTTAAAAAATTTTCAAATTCTTGCTTGATGGCTTCATATTTTTCTGTAACTCGAACATTAACTGTGTTTCTGTTGAGTGTCTGCATTTTCCCATTTTTAATCTGGTTGTTCAGCTGGTTCTGCAAGTCCAGCACATGACTCCTCAGTTCCCAAGTCCACTGGTTGTACATGGTTTCCAGTTTACTCATGGCCACCACCTCTAGGGTGTTCTTGAAACTGAAAATAAAGTTCTCACTCACCAGAGCTTTCCACAAATCTTGAACTCGGAATTTTAAGTCTGATATCTTCATGATGCTTCCTTTGGATTCCTGTTTGGCACTCATAAGAATTTTACTTCTCAGTTCCTGGACATTGAGGCTGTAGCGTGGATTGGGAGGGGCCATTGGAGGATTGCCATCCCAGAGGTAAGCAAAGTAGTAGACTTGAGTGTTGACATCAAACTTAATAACATCATTGAAGCAGGTGATGTCTGAGCACTGTTCTTCTTCTGCTGCTAATTTTGCCATTTCACCTAGTCTTTGCACTAATTTCCTACGTGCTTCTGTCAGTTGGTCTTCAGCAGTAACTTCCCCCACATTCTGATGGACAAAGATGCAACTTGGTGAGATTTTTACCTGTTTCATCCTTAGAAGGACTTGGACAACTATCTGTAGGATATCCTGCATCTCTGATGGATTCTCACCAAAAATATTGATGAGAGTCAAGTTTCCAAGTCCAGTGACAAAGGTTGCCAACTCAGTGTCCTTATTCTGGGATTTATTGTTGAGTTCTGGGGCTCGGAGACCTTGAGTATCCACAGCCAGCACAAAGTCAAAGCCAAGTTCCCCTGTGAATGTCTCCTCCACCTTCAGGAGCTGCATGTAGGCCCCCCGGGTACATCTGCCTGCACTGACTCTGAACTGCAGCCCAAAGAGTGTATTCAGCAGAGTGGACTTGCCTGAGCTCTGCAGGCCAAGGGTAGAGAGAACAAATAACTTTTTGTCTCCAAGTTTCTCAGTGAGCTTGTCAAAAACAGCTGCTATCCAAGTTAGAGGCACATATGAGGCATCCCCATCCATCAGTTCAATGGGAACACCAGCTATCATCAGATCTGCAGCAATTTCAGGAAGGGAATGAAAGAGAGCCTCTTTTTTGGAGGATGTTTCTTTCAGAGCTTCATAGATCTGACCAACTTCTCTGAAAAGTTGCTCAACTCCAAGGACACAGTTATGATTTTCTGTGGAGATGCCTCCCATCTTACTTTGCTGGTCTTGCAGATAATTTTTCTTGGACATGGTTTTCTCTTTTTCTTGTACCTGTGGCAGCAATGGCCTTTGCTTCTCATGCCACTGTTCCACACACCCTGCAGTCAGATCATCCAGAAACACACTTAACCATAGTAAAAAATAATGTTTGGTGTGATTTTCTGAATTTCCCTGAAGATTATCAAGAACAGATCTCATTAAATCATTGAGAGGAAAGGCTTTGATCAACTGTTTTTGCCGTATCTCTCTTTTCTCTCTCTGTGTGTCACTCTTGTGTTGCTCAATGCTCCGATTTCCCTTTTCTGTCAGATGGTAGAGTTCTCTGTCCTTCTTACACCACTGGTGCCACAGTGTTCCCTGAAGGGGCAGAAAGTTTTCCTTCACGTGAGATAACGCTGTTTCTGACAGGAGGGACATTACATTTTGTGCCTTTTCTTTGCCTTCCTTACACTCTCTCTCATCTTCATCAATAAGGAATCCTTGCTGGCGAGCAATCATGGAACAGTCTTCCAGGCTGAGGGAGGTGTCAGAGGAGTCTAACAAGTGCCTGATTGCTGTTGCAATTTCCTCTGTTAATTCTGCTTTATTTCTGTTCCTGATACCAATTCTTACTCTCTGACTAGAACTATTGGATATGCCTTTTTCTTTGTCATCAAGCAAGAAGATGAAAGGTTTTGATGACTGGGATAGGTCACGAATAAGCTTCCGGTTTTCTTCATTGATATCAGAAAATTTCATGAGGACCACAATGAGAGAAGAGATTTCCTGCAGGAAGGTGAGCTGCTGCTTATGTTCCTTTGCATCTCCATGAAGATTGGTGAAGGTCACACAGTTGTCAAATCTGTCCCCATTGTCACCCCCAGGACAGTACCAGCTGACTTCCACCACACCCTCCATCAAGAGACAGTCTTTTGTGCTTCCTCTGCAGTGGCGGTGAAAAAACACATCATGTTTGTGTTTACTCAGAATACAGTTCATGATCTGAGATTTGGAAGCCAAGAGGCCATTCCCAACTCTTATGAAGGACACAATGGGAGTAGAGACAGAACATATCTGTTGATTCCTGTAACTGATCTTCTCATCTGGTGATTTCTTGACTTGCCAACTTTTCCTGATTTGCCTGAGAGACCAGAGGGAGACTTCAATCTGAGAACTGCAAGGATTAGGCACTACAAGGGGAAGGGCAAATTGGCAAATGGCAAGTTTGCCCATAATATACTGCCTGGCAAAGTCATCTACACAGTGAAAAATTGTCATCTGAATATCCATTGGGTGAATGTGGGGCTTGTTGAGCTGGGATCGCTTTGTGGATGAAGGTTTAGAACTAGGATTATCTTCAATAAACTCTTCATACGGATCAAAAGTCTCATTATCCTGATCAGGAGATATTAAGTCTACATGGTATTTTGTGTCTCTATCATCTCTGACCACCAAATGTCTCAGGCTATAATCCAACATTAGCAGCTTCTGCAGGAAATAGAAAGGAAACTCTTTTTCAGAACTGGGATGGGTGTTGTACACAGACTTCTTGTAGATAATGTGGAAATCAGCTCTGCTCATCCTTTTTGGATAGTAATGATCTAAGCCTAGCTGTTGAAGTATGTCTAGGAAGGGCCCATTATCTGTAGCTTTCCTTTCACTATTTTCATGTTCATGTGTTTCTTCGGATTGTTTCTTTCCATGGAGGAGACTTTCCAATTGGTTTTCGACTTTGTCCATTTGTAAGGAAGACTTAGTGGCTTCATAATCCCCATCAAGGAGCAATCTCAGGTCTTTCTCTAGTGTGTCCCAATCATGATCTATTCTAGGTTTGCTGAGGACATAGTCCACCTCTTTAGACCAACGCTGCCCCATGTGTTTCTTCATTAATTCCAGACGTTGTCTTTTGTCTTCTGGAGAAACAGCTGTGCTTCCAACTGTCGCTGTCAGACCTCTGAGCATTAGGAATGCCTGGGCTCTATAGGCAGAAATACTTTTGTGTTTCAGGTATTCATGTTTGACAGTCATGACTTCATTCAGTAAGAAGTTTAGCTCATTTGCTCCTAGACACTGAAAAGTATTGTTTACCACCTGGTATCCTGCACCAACTGCAATGGAAAGTAACAAGAGGTATGTGTCTGTCTGCCCTGTTTTTTGGAGGTAATTGAAGAAGGAGCTGATTTCATAATTGGCCTTCTTTTGAGCAGCTTCTATTGACTCTGGGGACTCAGAATTCATATTTGAATCCATAAGTTCATTGTAGGTTTTTCTTAAGATGTCAATTAATTCAGAAAACTGGGAGACATTTTCTTGCTGTGGCTCTGCATCTCTCTCCGACTGGACGATCCACTGCATGATGGAGTGAGCCTCAGGAAAGTTTGTTACTTTGTAGATGTGAGGATCCAGAAGACTTTGCAATTGAGATTTGATTAATTTAGTTTTGTAAGTGGAAGCCTGCTTGCAAAAATTGACTGCTCTTATTAGAAAATGCTGAAGATCTCCACTTGTAAGACATATGTTGATCCATGTGTCATAACTTTTCATTTTTTGTTTCAACATCTGCATGAAGTCTATTAACTTTTGAAGCTGCTCTTCAGGATCTGATGCTTTCCAGGATTTCACATTCTTTAGGAAATCTCTAACTTCCTTATCAGTACTCTGTAGTTCTTCCCCATACTGAATCTGGGTGTTGAGGCTTGTGATAGTAGTATAAGTGTCTTTAAGATACTGAGCCATCTGGAGGGCATTATTAAAATCATTTTTATGGTTAAATAGGATGATGTCCCAAATGGGTACCAGCTGCTGTCCCCGGTCAATAATGCACCAGGTTTGATTGTTAGCAGTGAGGCCAGCTTTCCATTGCATGAATCCATCTGCTTCTGGTGGACCACCTGTCTTGGCCACAGACAGTTGCACTTTGGTTTGGAGAGTTTGGAAAGTTTCTCTCTGAATGTCTGCTTTTGAATATGTGCTAGACACCTTCCTACCTGCAAGAACATTCACTCCTAAGCCACCATAGCTGCCCCTGATATAAATATCCAAAGCCTTCGCTGATTGTCCTTTTACATCTTCCAGTTGCTCACTCTGGAAACCCTCTGAAATGGCCTTCCACCAGAAGATTCCTCCCAAGTGCAGAGGGCCTTGGTTAGCATGAGAGCCAAACCTGTGGAAGAAGTTTTCAATCTTGCACCTCATTGTGAGGAGTTTGTCAGAGCTTGAGGTCTGATCCAGGAGGTCTTCAATGCACTTCAATTCCTGCAGAGCAGCCTTGGATAACTGGAGTTGATTCATGGAGAAGTGGCATGAGGCCAGGGGAACATAGCTGAACTTGACTGAGCAGTAATAAAAGTGTTCAGAATGTGATTGTTCCTTTTCCTTGGATTCTGAATTATCCATACCAGCTCCTAGACTAACTTCCCAGTCTACAACTTCAGCTGATTTCCTTAAGCTGAAGCCCAGCTTCTCTATTGTCTGGGTGAACATGGACTCTGCTTCATAGGAGGTGAATTCAACACTTTCCATCTGTGTGCCCTGTTCAGGTCCAAGGAGTGAAAGCTCCTTGGGAACAGTGAGTAGCTCCTCTCTTCTTTCAAGCAGGTCCCTTTGTTGGCTGGTTTTGTAAATTCCCTGCAGGGCCAGCCCGCCAGATGCCCAGCTCAGCAGATCTCTATCTGGGAGGTTTTGCCTGGGGGTTAGGGTCCCTTCTGTGAGCCTGAGTTGTCTCTGCATGTTGTCTAGGACCTCCAAAAGTGGCATTTCAAGTGGTGGCCAGTACTCCTCAGGTATCTCCATTGCTTGCCTCAGCTCCTCTTCCTTTCTCTTCACTGCTTCTTCATGCTGCTGCCTCCCTTCTGACAACAAGTTTTTTAGCTCCTGCAGAGCCTGTTTTGCTTGCTTCTGCTTTTGGTTTATCAGTTCCAGAGACTGCTTTGACTCTGAAATACCTGACTGTGACAGGTGCAGCAGCTTCTCCAGGGCCCTTGTCTCCCATGGATGTTGTGCTTGGGATTTCAGCTTCTGGAGGTTCTCTTCGTCAAGGTGCTGTAAGGCCTGGGCACAGGTCACACTCAACACACTCAAGTGTTCCTGGAGCTTTGGTAACCAGTATTCAGCAGCCAGTCCCACTGCTCTGAGCCTCTCTTGGAGATTTTGCTTCCTTTCATCTCTGAGCAGATGTTCATCATGGATGTGTCCTCCTGTGGCCATGGCTGTGTGAAAAACATAAATTCAATTAACCTGTCTGCTTCCTGACTTAAGAAATATTGACATGATGAATGGGGTGAATATGAAAAAGGTAAGTCCCTTCTTTACATAGTTCCAATATAAAATTTTTGGTAACATTTTTTTTTAAAGATTTATTTTTATTATTTTTTCATTGGAAAGGCGGATATACAGAGAGGAGAGACAGAGAGGAAGATCTTCCGTTCGATGATTCACTCCCTAAGTGAGCGCAATGGTCGATGCTATGCCGATCCGAAGCCAGGAGCCTCTTCTGGGTCTCCCACATGGGTGCAGGGTCCCAAAGCTTTGGGCCGTCCTCGACTGCTTTCCCAGGCCACAAGCAGGGAGCTGGAAGGGAAGCGGGGCTGCCGGGATTAGAACTGGAGCCCATATGGGATCCCGGGCGTGCAAGGCGAGGACCTTAACCACTGCGCCACCACGCCGGGCCCTTTTGGTAACATTTTAAAGTGCAAATCATCATTGTGTATATTCATAAACTGTCTTAGTTTTTTTTAAAGATTTAATCTTTATTGTTATTGCAAAGTCAAATATACAGAGAGACAGAGGGGAAGATCTTTCATCTGATGTCTAATTCCTAAGTGACTGCAACAGCAGGAGATGCACTGATCAGAAGCCAGGATCCAGGAGCTTCTTCCGAGTCTCCCACGTGGGTGCAGGATCCCAAGGCTTTGAACTGTCCTCCACTGCTTTTTCATGCTCCGTCTTTATATATTGTTCAGTGTTCCCTTCAGAATGCAATTTCTGACTCATTGAATGGCACTCACATACTTCTAGGCCAGTGGGTGTCTTACTCATCCTGCTTCTTAAGAGATAAACTTAACCTACTCTCTTTTCTTTTTTCTTTTCTTTTTTCTCTGCTTTGCTTTGCTTTTTCTTCCTTCCTTTCTATTTTTCCTTCAGATTTATTTTCAAAGTGTATTAGTAGATAGGGAGAGACAGGCACAATGATAAAGATCTTTCATCCATTGATTCACTTGTTCCATGGCCACAATTGCTATGACTGGGCAAGGCTAAATACAGGAGCTGAGTTCCAAAAGTTATGTAAGCAAAAGCTCTTTCTCTGCTTGGAAAAATATATTTAAGGATCATTCTGTTGAAGATTCAATGTAAAAGGTTTTTAGGATGAACTAGGAAAGAAACGGAATAGCTGGACACTAATTAGGGTGCACTTAATCACCTCAATTTCTGATTAATAGCTGCTAAAATTCTGCTCAAGCATTTTAAAATACTTAAATGCTGCAACTTTAAAAAATGTTTTAATTATTTTTTTATTGGAAATGCAGATATACAGAGAGGAGGAGAGACAGAGAGGAAGATCTTCCTTCTGTTGGTTCACTCCCCAAGCAGTCCCAACAGATGAATCTGAGGCAATCCAAAGTCAGGAGCCAGGAACCTCTTCTGAGTCTTCCATGTGAGTGCAGGATCCCAAGGCTTTGGGCTGTCCTTGACTGCTTTCCCAGGTTACAAGCAGAGAGCTGGATGGGAAGCAGGGCTGCTGGGATTAGAACCGGCACCCATATGCAATTCTAAAGAGTTCAAGTTGAGGACTTTAGCAGCGATACTATTGTGCCGGGCAAAAATGCTGCAACATTTCAGCAGAAATGATATTTTGCTTCTGAATCAAGGTAGAAGAAATATACTTAGAGATGGAGGGAAAGAATCAGTAGCTGAACATAGGGATGTTTTTGAAGTGAAATTAATTTAAAAATGGATTTCCTTTATGAAAAAGCGTATTAGAGTCATAAATGCTATTGTTAAAAGGAAGTTAAGCAAATAATATTGTGTTTGAGAGTTACTGTTCTCAAATTATATGTGATTAATTTAACAAATTTATAAAACTCTCAGAGCTGGTGTTGAGTACTGGTTAAGTTCTAGTTGCTCCAATTCTGATCTAGCTCCCTGCTAATGAAACTGGGAAAGCAACCGAACACGGGCCCAAGTACTTAGGCCCCTACTACTCATGTCTGAAATTGGCTGGAGTGTCTGACTTCTTGTTTCGTCTGGACAAGCTCTGCCTGTTGTGGTTATTTGAGGGAGTGAATCAGAGCACATATGATTCAGCTGCCTCTTGGCTGTCCTCTTCTGCTTTTTCTCATCTTTTTACTTAAAATGGTAGCCTCTAATGAAAAGAGTATGAATTCTAAAACTGGCAAAATATTTAGGGATATTCAATAATAAAAAGATTTGATTATGCATCTCTCTCTTATTCTGTATGAGTGGCTATGACAAAACCCTGCAGAGTGAGTTGTTATAAATACCAGAAATTCATTCTTACACTCTGAAAGCTAGGAAGTGCAAGATAATGGTGTTGGCAGATTCACTGTCTTGTAAGGAGTAGGTCTTTATTAACACCTTGTTGTGTCCTTACTTGACAGATAATGAATGTGGAGTGGTCAAAAAGGACCTAACTTATTTTGTCTGCCCTTTTATACATCACTGATATGTTCACGAGAATGGTAACCTCTTACCTTCAAAAAGTCTACATGTATTCATACCATTATAGTACAAATTAAGTTTTTAAAATAATATTTATTTATTTTTGTTTATTTGAAAGGCACAGAGAGAGAGAAGAGAAAGAGAGAGAGAGAGAGAGAGAGAGACAGAGATGGAGGAGAGGGGAGGAAAAGGAGAAAGATAGGCCTGGGCTCTGTGCAATGGCTCAAGTGGTTAATCTTTCACCTTGTGAGCACCAGCATTCTATATGTATTCTGGTTAGTGTCCCAGTGCTCTACTTTCTATTGAGCTCCCTGCTTTTAGCCTGAGGAAGCTGCAGAGGATGACCAAGAACCTTGGGTCTCTGCACCTACGTGGAAGACACAGAAGAGGATTCTGACTCCCTTCTTCAGATTGACTCAGTTCCAGCCATTGTGGAAGTGAACCAGTGGACAGAAGATCATTCTCCGGCTCTCCTTCTCTCTTTAAATAACTTTTCCAATAAAAATAAATAAATCTGTAAAAAAAAAAAAGAACAAAAACAGAAAGAGAGACAGAAGGAGATGTCTTTCCATCTGCTGATTCATTTCCTAAAAGCTCATCATAGCTGGAAAGGACCAGGCCAATGTGAAAAACCAGCAACTCTATCCATGTCACCCATGTTGGGGCAGGGTCTTCAAATACTTGAGTCATTGTCTCTTACCTCCCAGAATGCATATCAGCAGGAGTCCAGAAATGCAGTCTGACTCAAGCCAAGGCACTTAGTATGTATCACAGTCATCCCAAGCAGCTTAACCCTCTGTACCTTAGTAATTGTCCTCACTTTATAGGGGGATAAAATTCTAATGTGTGAGCAACGTACAAATTTGTGGGACTCAGTAAAAGCAGTAGCTAGAGGGAAACTTACAACATTGAATGTATTAGAAATGAAGAAAAATCTGAAATCTTTCATCCTTTCAAAATGGAACATGAAGAAAAAATTAAGCCTGAAGAAGTAACAAGAAACAGATAAAAGTTAATGCAGAAGCCATTGCGGCTGTTGCATTTTATTATTATTTTAATTTAAAAATCAAAAAATATTTTTATTGCAAAGTCAGATATATAGAGAGGAGGAGAGACAGAGAGGAAGATCTTCTGTTCAATGAATAACTCCCTAAGTGACTGCAATGGTCGGTGCTGAGCCAATCTGAAACCAGGAGCCAGGAAACCCCCTCCATGTCTCCCACGTGGGTGCAGGGTCCCAAGGCATTGGGCTGTCCTCAACTGCTTTCCCAGGTTATAAGCAGGGAGCTGGATGGGAAGTAGAGCTGCTGAGATTAGAACCGGTGCCCATATGGGATCCCTGTGCATTCAAGGCAAGGACTTTAGCTGCTAGGCTACTGCACCGGACTTGGCTGCTCCATTTTAGACCCAGCTCCCTGTTAATGCAGCTGTGGTGGATGGCCAAGTATTCAGGTCCTTGTAACCGTATTAAGGGAGATTCAGGAGATGTTCCTGGCTCTTGGCTTCAAATCAGATGATTTCTGGCTATCACAGCCATCTGGGTTTGGGGCAATGGATGGAAAATCTCTCTTTTTCTCTGACTTGACCTTTTAAAGGAAGTAAGGAAAAAAGAAGGAAGGAAGGGAAGAAACAAGAAATGAATAGAAAAAATGAAAAAAGATTCTGAGGCATTGAAAATATTAACAGCAGTAATATAGATAAAAAAGCAAAGATTATTAATATAAGAGATAATAGAAGAACATACTTCTTGATCCCATACATATCAAAGATATGTTAAGGTTGCTATGAATATCTGTATATATTATATTATATATATTTATATATTTTTATATTTAAATATTTATATATATAAATTTAATAGCATAAATGAAATAGAGAAATTTATTGAAAGACATAAGCTTCCATTAAAGAAATAGACAACCTGCATAGGCCTATGTGTATTAAACAAATTGAATAAGACCCTGTACAATGACTTGATTGCTTATCCTGCCTGTATAGTGCTGGGATCCCATATGGGTGCTGTTTGTGTCCCAGCTGCTCCACTTCCCATCCTGCTTCATGCTTGTGGACTGAGAAAGCAGAGGAGGATGATTCAAAGCCTTAGGACCCTGTACCCACATGGGAGACCCGGAAGAGGTTCCTAGTATCTGGTTTTGTATTGGCTCAATTCTGGCCATTGCAGCCATTCAGGGAGTGGACCAGCAGATGGAAGATCTTTCTGTCTCTCCTTTTATCTGTTTCTGTGTTCATCTGTAAAATGAAGAACTTTCAAAAAAAAAAAAAAGAACAAAAATTGAATAAAAATGGCTTCTTTCAAAACAAAAAGCAGTAAGGTCATTTTGGGTCACTGCTACATTATGCCAATCTTATTTAAATAATATTAGTTTATTTTTATTTGAAAGGCAGAGTTGTGGAAAGAAGGAGACACAGATATTCTATCCACTTGTTCACTCTGCAGATGGCAGCAAAGATCAAGGGTGGGCCAGGCTGAAATGAGGGGTCATTATCTTCTTGGTCTCCCACATACGTG